CTGGGGGGAGCCGGCCTCGGCCCCTCTGGAAGGAGCAGAGCTCCGTGAGTCGGGAAGGGAGGTTTCGCCGTGCCAAGCCTTCTCCGTAGGCTCGACATTAAACACCTGGAGCATCTTATGGAAGTTCGGCTTACGGAGGTTTTGTCTGTCTGCGTGTCTGGGGCTGTCCTGGCCTGATGGTGCCCTTTTAGTACAGAGCAACAGCACCATGTCATAGCCTCCGAGGGCACAAAAATAGCGTTAGAAATTCTGAAAAGACTACACCATGATCTAGGATCTCACTGCAGCTCCTGCGCAAGAACGGCCGGCTAACGCCATTACACGTGTCCAACGTTAACGTGACTTCCAGCTCTGTTAGTCCGTGCCCTGTCAGAAGCCTGCACACAGCTGGTGTCCGCGGGCTGACTCCGTACACTGTCGGGATTTCTGCGGCGGGCGCGGGATGTCACCGCTGCACCGGTGCGCTCGGGGTGTTGTTTCCTTCCCGCTGCGTCTCGGTGCTGAGGCACCGTGGGCGCGCAGGTGAGCCCCCGCGGGTGCCGCTCCGGGACGCCCGATGGGCCTGAGCTCTCGACAGGCACCGGCGCGGGTGAGGGATGGGTGCAGAGCCCCGTGCACGGCTGTGATGGCAAGACCCAAGGCTTGTCTTCTGACTGTTAGTACAGCCGCGCTCTTTGCCGTTTGCAGGAATGATCAGAAGCGCGAATTGTGTAGAATCCAAGGGACAGAAGCGTATATGTGCTCCAACTGATCTCATCTGGGTTCCCCAGAATTGTTTTTGGAGTGATCAGTTATAGTTTTTTGTCGTACAAATAACTCCCCAGCCGGACGCTCGAACGCTGTTGGACACTACCTTTTATGCAGCTTTCACATTAGCAAGAGAGAAAATTTTGGTCACAGGCAGGCAGTGCACAACTCCCTGTCTCCATCTCGGGAGCATAATCATCCTGAGGTTCTTGGCATCTCTGAGTACTTGTAAGTCAGTGGGAGATGGGCAAGAGCCAAAAATCCAGAAACTTACAATTAAGAGAGGGAGAGAATTAATATTGGTTCGCTGACCGTGACCCTACATGTTCAAGTATTTTGTGGTATTAGCAGCTCATTTTGGCACTTGTGCTGGGACGGGTTCTGTGGTCAGCCTCCTGCCTTTGCTAAGTTTTTCTGTTTCCAGACAGGCTTCTTTTTTCTTTCTTCCAAGTTAAAACATGGCATTACCCTCTCATTTAAATATTCACATGTTTATGCTAATGCCTCTTTTATACAGCATATCTCAAAATGGGTTTTGTTTCAGGTATGCAAATACATAGATCGGTTTCTGTCCAATATGCTGCTCTAGATAGACATCTCACCTGCAGGTTCATCCGTTTAGCTCTGTTGGTGATACTTTGTGTGGTCTTTATGCTGTTGTCTAGCGTGTACTTAGAACATTTCATGGCACTTTTCTTACCTTGTACGAATCTTGATTTTAAAAATATCTGTTGACCTGAATGAATAACTTAGATTTTGCGTGCAAATGTCCTTGGACTGATTGAGTAAGATTCAGGCCTTTGGTTCTCCTAAGCCCAAGGAGGAGGAGATGCCACCCAGTCAGCCTGTGCTTGCGCTTCCTTTGATGCGAACGCCAGCAAAGCTCAACTAGTAAGGGAAAAAAAACCTAACACAGCCACCGCTGGTGAGTCTCTGCATTGATTCTGCAATACTGCATTTTAACGGAGGCATGCATGGACCTGTCATGGTGCTGAGCTGCTGAAAGTTCCTCCTCATTACCCTCCTACTGCCACAAGAGCATTCCTATCTAAGTGGGAGCATATGGACTTCGCTTGGGATAGCTACATTTTAAAATCTGATAAAAGGGCAGGGTGAGATAACAAGAATGGTCTTTTTATTTCCGTTCTGGTGCTCTCCAGTATCCCGCAGATTATAAAATCCTTTGGGTAGGGGGAGAGAAACATCTCATGGGAATCCTGAGAAAAATAAGGCAACCGTGACTTAATAAAGCTTGCAGTGCCAGACTCTGTTAGATCACAATTGAATGGAAGCGTTTAATATTTCATGTTCATTAACTTCTGTGAACTTTTCATAGGGCTTAGCTCTTCTAAGGTTAATGGTTTGGAGCTGTGTTTGAGAATTGAGTTTGAAGGCTGCTAAACTTAAAACGCTGTTAACTTTCTAGTTTGTTTGTTGGGCAAAGAAAATTCTTTGACTCCATTGCATGTAAGAAAGCTGTATGCCTTTTCTTCTGCGTAATAAAACTGGGCAAATATCTAGAATTAAACAGTTACACAGTACATCGTCATGGATTTAGTATAAACAAACCCCTCCCAGCACTACCCCTCCTTGATGCGAACAGGTAGTCAGACTTCATAGCGGGTGTTTGCATCAGATGGAGGTACTGCGCTGCTGCTCCTTCGATGCGCAAAGCACACACGGAAAGTCCCATTGCTCTGAACACGGTAGGAGGGAAGCACCAAAGCCAGCTTCTTGGCTCATAGCTTCAAGTGTTTTTGCAGAGAACAGGTTTATATCAGCTTTCTTTTTCAGGCGCAGGCTACCAAGATTTCTTTCCTTCTCTTTTGCTCACGTGGATGCGCGTTTCTGTCTGATTGATATTTACTCTGCATGGCCATGCCTCTTCCTAAATAGCTTCGTTGTTTGAAGGGAGCTCGAATGTGGTGTAGGTAGTGGTATTGTATGCGGGGTGTTCCTTAATCGCTTCGTCATTTGGCTTGCCAGGAAGGTAGCTGTTGCTCTCATCTGATCCTGTCAGGTTTCTTCCAAAGCCACCTTCACAACTCGGAGAAGGGAGCTGCAGAGGCACCGCATGCTTTCCAAAGGAGACCAGGTCTTGATGCCAAGGAATTTTCCTCCCTTCTGCTAACCATTTTAAGCACTGATTTCTGCACAGCAGAGCTGCAAAGATTTTAAATGATAAATAACATGTGACACAGCAAGAACAACCAGACAGACATCCAGTAGTGGCAGACAAAACCTCCGTTACAGGAAATCACTTCATATCATACTTGTAAGATCTGAGAGATCTGTGCACGCTCACTATCTTAGCCGATCTGGTTTTGTCATGCGACTTTATCAACGCTATTAATACTTATTTGTGCTGGTGCAATTTTTAGAGCAGGGTCTCCGGTGTGCTATCTTGCTAGCAGCTGGCAGCATGCCCACGGACGTCCCGTTGAGATTTAGCAGCTGAATTCACGTGCCGCTCTTCAGGAGATGTGTCTTTGCTTGAAAACAGCATTTTTCTGTAGACATTTAATAAAGTGGCAGAACGAAGCAAAGTATGCCCGATTCATAGTTACTGAGAAACAGCAGTCACTGCCGTAAAGTTTCATCAGTTAAGACCAAAGGGACTTAACTGACTGCTGGCTTTATAGGCCAGAAAGATGAATGCAGGTGAATCACCTGGGGTGTGCATCGAAGCAATAAAACCTTTCACTCATTTCAATAACTTTGGATTTTATCTCAGTTATAGATAATAGTCATTTAAGAGTTTGGGAGTTGTTTTTATGCATAATACTAACAACCAGCTTCTGTCCCCTCCTCCTGCGGAGCGGGATGAGCTGATGTGGGGGAAGGGGAGGACAGCATATTATGGGAATGCTGTGCTCTGCTAGCGGAGGCAAAAAGTTGTGTGTTGCAGTTGGATTTCCAAATTTTCAGACATGTTCTACTTCACTTACAATTGCTTTCTTTACTCAAGGAAGCAAAATTAAGCAGTAGTACTACACAGCAAGATCTCTTGGCTTTTCTTGGTATCTTAGACAGACAGCGATCCAAAGTCAGGACGCAGACTTAAGGGGAACAGCACGTCCGGAGTTCTCCACAACCATGGAACGTTATCCTACAAAGCTACTGCAAGGTCAGAGGTTAGGGATGCGCTTTTCCCTCTGTCGCTCTGGGAAGCTGTGCTTTCCCCTAGTGAAAAAAAAGCCAGGAAGCAAAGGGAGGCAAAGAGGTGTATTCCCCACTGTGTAACTGCCCAGCCTTCATTTAAATGAATTGATCTCGAGCTTCAGTTTAACAGAAAAAATGGGAACAAATCAGAAACTCTAACCATTGCTAAATCTGAACTGTTCTGTATAGGTAAATTATCAAAACAAAGGTGGGCGAAGTAGTGCAGAAATGTGTTTTGACCTGCAGTTCCTCTTGTTTGCTTTACCTCAGGTATCTCTCTATCACTCACGATCACTAGGTGATAAACTAAAATCCTTGTTTAGCCAGGTAAGCCTGGGGGCACCAACCATGTCCTATAAATGCTGCTGCGTGATGAAATACGGAGGCAAGAATAGATAAATTAGGTACCGTTGACTGAAATTGTGTGATGTTGCCTTCTGTTGTATCGGGGATTTGAAGAAAACAGAGAAAACGCGCAAGCAAAATCTTAAAGTGAGTCTCTGAAGCTGCCACGTGACGTGAACTCGGACGTGACGTGGATCTGTCATTGTTTCAGCCCCCTCCGTCCGTGTCATACGTGTCCTCTGCAAGTACAGGCTCTGCTTGGTTGGGTGATTACACCAGATTGGTGTTGTTCAAGAGGAAACAGAAGCTTAATGTCGTGAAGGTTCAGCCTGGCAGCACGGCCAGGCAATCTGCCCGCTAGAATTGCAAGCCTCTTTCACG